CAAACCCTACCGAAACCCTAAACCCTGAACCCTAAACCCTACCGAAACCCTAAACCCTAAATCCTAAACCCTAAACCCAAAACCCTACGGAAACCCTGGGTGTCATCCGAGCAGCTCGTCGATGCAGCAGATCCCTCGGTCGGACAGCACCAGGGCGCCACTCTCGAGCACCAGGTCCTCGTTTTGGGGTCTCTATAGGGCTTGTTTTGTTGGGTTTGGGGCTTCAGGGTGTAGGGCTTAAGGGTTTAGGGTTTGGAGCTATCTTTGTTGGGTTTGGGCTTCAGGGTTTGGGGTTTGGAGCTGTCTTTGTTGGGTGTGGGCTTAAGGGTTTAGGGTTTAGGCCTGTTTTTGTTGGGTTTAGGGCTTACCTGGACCCCAAAAGTATGTAGAATAATAGCATTGTATGGGTGTTTGGGGATTGTTTTTACCTACTTTTGGGGGTTTATGTAAGGGCTTTGGGTTTAGGGCTTAGAGGGTCTGCATGGGTTCTGTGAGGGTTCTATATGGGTTCTGTGAGGGTTCCTTTGCGAAGGGCGTAAGGAGAGCTCTAAATCTTCCTGTAAGCATACTTTCGTACGGGATGTTGGCTGGTCTCCCTGAACCCCTGGGCCCTGAATTAGCGAATCCTGGTCAGTGTTGCGGTGTTCGGGGCGCGCACTTTGGAGGCTCGAGCTTGACATTCGGCTGTATGGATTACTTAGGGTCTAATGTATACGTCTGGCAAATCAGCGCAAGTTTTTGTGTATAATGTACTAGCCACTACAAGTACAGGACAACAGCGACTCCATGGCAATGCAGTTGTCAGTTATTGGGATGTATCGTTGCCGCAAAGCCTGCGCATGCAAGGCGAGAACCTCAAACTTACACCCAACAGAAACCTTCAACCGGACCCATGAGCCGTAGGTCAATGGACCTCAGGCGTAAACTAATTCTACTTCCCAAACTGCGGGATAGGGCTACACCGTTGTCGGAGTCCTGTAAAAAACCCCGCCAAACTCGCACTTAAGACTACAACAAAGATGCTATAAAGCCATTTTGAGATCCCGGTTCAATTCCCCGACCAAAAAACCAAAACCCTACAAAGATTGACACAAAAACAAAACCCTTCAAAGATTGACAAAAAAACAAAACCCTACAGGGATTCGGCTTAGAAGGTCGCTCCTGCGTCACCGGGTCTTTGTTGATCGAGGCCGTCAGTCCCACAGCACTGCTTCCTTGAAGGGTTTCGGGTTTAGGGTTTAGGGTTGAGAAGGATGCCAAAAATAGGGCTCCTTTTGCTTTCGAACTTGGGGGGAGGGTTAGGGTGTGTAGATCCAGGTCTAACAGGGTTTAGTGCATGCAGTGTCGAGAATCAAAGTTGAGTGAGTTTGGTGTTTAGGGTTTATAGGGTGTAGGGCATGTGACACGTGTAGAGATGAAAGTGTTGTGGTCCAACTATGGTAGAATTTACCTCAAAGAAATTGAGCCTGCCCTTTCATTTCAGCATGTCGCCTCCCCAAACAAGCCCAGGAAAAGCCCTATGATAAACCCATCCTAACAAGCCTCCTAAAACCGCACAAGACTCCAAACCCTGCTCCCAGACATCAGGGCAGTTCTCTAAATTAGGCCCCCTTTTTAGATGCCAACTATAGTACGGCACCCTTATGAAGATGAACCTTAAAACGGAACCTAATTTAGAGAACTACCCATCAAACATTTCTGAAAGCCCCATGGTCCTTTGCCGGAGGTGTAAACACCGCGCGGGGCGAGCTTGTAGGAGTACCTGAAAGCAGCTCAGGGCTTAAGGCTTTAATACCCCTAAACCCGAAACCCTAAACCCCTAGACCCTAAACCCCTAACCCTCTAAATTCTAGGTTTAGCAGTTCAGGGCTTGATTTGGGGTTTAGGGTCCTCAAACCCTCAGCCCTAGCCTATATAGTAAAGCCCCACCCCACAAACCCCGCACACCCTGAGTCCGGACCACCTACTTTTTTGTATGTTCTTCTATTCAACCCTAACATGGAAGGACCCTACACAAAAGTAGGTTTTGGTAGATGAAGGTAGGGATTCCACTAAGGCCTATCGGGTTTAAGGTTTAGCGCTTCCATGCTAAGCCCAGGCCCTCACCTCAAAACGTCCAGAACCTCAAGCCGCAAACCCTAAGTCTTGGCACCTGGCATGAAAAAAAAACCTGAACTGAGCCCCAAACTCTGGAATCCTAAACCCTATAAGCCCCAGACTCCAGACGTGAAAACCCTAAGGCCCTAAACATAAGCTGCATGGCACCTGCGAGGCCAGAGGTCTCAAACTCCTTTTTGTCAGGCGAGGGCTTTTGACCAAAAGCTGGAAATTTGACATCGCCAACCCTCCACCCTAAACCCTAAACCCTCCACTACAGGGGCTTCGGAATTTTATGGATGTCGGGTTTGGGGTTTAGGGCTGAGGATTTTGGGTTGATGGCTTTAGGGGTTTAGGGGTTAGGGCTGAGGATGTTAGGTTTAGGGTTTAGGGCTGAGGATTTCGGATCTGGGTTTAGGGTTTAGGGTTTAGGGTTTAGGATTTCGGGTTTAGGGTCTAGTAGGCAAAATGCTGGCCCCAAAACCTATAAAATACTTTTGTTGTCCAGATAGGGCTCAGTGTTTCGAGTTACGAAAACAGGGTTCTTCTGGGCATCTCAAAACTGACGCACGACACCCGCTAAACCCCGACACGCTCAGTCGCTGAAAAAGATGTTTAGGGTTTAGGGTTTGGGGTTTAGGGGTTAGGGGTTTAGGGCTTAGGGTTTAGAGTTTAGAGTTTAGGGTTTAGGATTTGGGGTTTAGGGTCTAGAGTTGAAAACTCACAGCGCTTGTATAGGAGCACATAAGATCAGGGCCTTTTGTGTTCGCGATTGGACTAAACGCATTGATGTTATGCAACAAAACAGTGGTGCTGCCCTAGATCCAAACCCTAAACCCTGAACTCTAAGTTTAGAGTTTAGGGTTTCGGGTTTGGATTTAGGGCAGCACCACTGTTTTGTTGCATAACATCAATGCGTTTAGAGTTCCATTCGCGAACACCAAAGGCCCTGATCACTCTAAACCCTAAACCCCGAAGCTCCCAACTCCTGAGCCGAAGCGATTTTGAGAGCGTTTGCAGGCTTCTGCTGGAAACGGCTATTCGGCGAGTCCCAGCGCATTCTCGGCTGCTCCTTGGGCACCATGGTCACAGGCCCTTCCCAAACCACAGAATTCTGAGGAAACCATGGGCCCCTAGTATGGGCCCTTAGCCCTGGGATCCTTATATACCTACTATATATCCTATATGTACCCTTAAGGGTCCCTAGAATCCCCCTAGAATGCCCAAGGGTCCATGTTAGGGGCCCATACTTCTTACCGCACAAGAATGCTGAAACCTGCACTATCATAGGCTGTATCCCAACAGTCGTAGAAGCGCAAACCGTAAATCTCAAAACCTTCGCCAGGGTCTAAAACTTCAAATCCTAAAACCCTAAGCCCAAAAACCCTAAAACCCACACACCCCAAACCGTAAACCCTATAGACCCTACACCCTAGACCCTAAAAACCAAAGCTTCGGGGAGGCATAAACGCCACGAGAGGCCAACGGAAAGCCCTCGGAGTCCTGGGTGCTGGACGAAAACTTCCTAAGGGTCCGCCTAGGGGTTCACGGTTTAGGGGTTTAGGGTTTAGGGGCCTTAATGGTCAGAGCACAGTTTCAATTTATAGTAGACTAATGCTAAACTACACTTCAGAAGAGCAAGGGGGAACTAGCACACACACACACACACAAGCTTTTCCGACCCGAGATTACCTCTACAAGCTTACTTTGGCCTTGAAGGGGTGCCTACGCTTCGGGGTGAACGTATGTATATCTATCTATCTATCTATCTATCTATCTATCTACATATATATATATATATATGTATACCTCGTCGGTACATGTGCCCACATAATTGACCTGGACCCCGAACCGGTACCCTTACAGGAGCCTCCAAGCGGCACATGAACCCTTGAACCGTATACTCCAAACCCTTATGCTACTCCTAGTAGCCTTATCGGAACTCTGAAGAAACCCTTAGGGGAAGGGACCCTTAAAGGAACCCCAAAAAGGAAAGGCTGAAAGGGACCGTTGAAGGACCATTTAACGGGCACGTGGATCCTTATAAAATATAGGGACTCTGGAGGCATGGGCTTGTTGATTTAGTATAGAGGCCTGGCCTTATTTCTAACCACAAGGGTCCATGTACCCAAATAGTAGAACATTGGCCCCAAAGTACCTATATAGGGACTACATTAAGGCCAATGTTCTATTATTTGGGTACATGGACCCTTAGGGTAAGTATAAGAAGCTCTAAGGAATTTTGGTAAGTATTTGTTGAGGCTGCTCTAGTACCTGAAGACTCCAAATGGCCCAACGTAGGTACTGTTTATAGACTTCAGGCCCCAAAGTAGGTACCAATGATCCCCAAGGGTCCATGTACCCGTATAGTATATACATAGGCCCTAAAGTACCTATGTTAGGGACTACATTAAGGCCAGAGTATNNATTTGGGTACATGGACCCATAGGGAATTGTATACTTGGAGTCTTCGGGTTGGGAGTTGAGGGTTGTAGGCTCAGGGCCTCTGTTGTCTAGACTTGCGGGTTCAGGGTTTTAGGGTTACAGATGCAGGATGTCAGGGAGTTTACGGCTTACCTTCACCCAAATAACCTGACTTTTTGGGATTCCTTCTTTATTGCGATTTTCTTATGATAAACCCACAGAATCGTAGGTTGTTTGGGCTTCAGGTGGGGTCTGTATAGTTTCGGCGGAGAGCCTAAACCCTAAACCCTAA